TTTGCTTTGAGTCGAAAACAGATTCCAGAAGAATTTTGAAAACATCAGAAGATTCATCAGAAAATTCTGCATCTCCTCACATATTTTCCATAATTTTGCAGTCAAGTCTTTTAGGAAATTTATCCATGCAATAAACTCACGTTTCTCCCAATCCTTCTTGAGATAAGAAGTGTTTTTTCTTTTATTATTTCATATAGGTGAATATAACATTCGCATCTACTTATGTGTGTCATATTTTGATTTAGTGTTATATGTAATGAACTCGTTTAGTTTTATAACAGTAAGCAAGGAAACTCCTAGTGTGGAGTAAAGTCAAGCACTCAGCCAAGTGTTTTTGCCAGCTTGTTCTCGAAAAGAAAAGATATCACTTTCCTTTTTCTTAGAAAAGAAAAAGATATGCATTATATCTTCACTTTTTACTTTTGAAAATAAAAGATACACTTTACCGTTACTCGGGAAAGGGACGGGAAAGTGTCCCTTTCCCCCCCTAGAAAAATCACGTCAGTCGATGGCTGTTATTATATACATTTATTAAGATATTATTAATATATTTTTCTTCTTTTCTGATAAAAAATTGGTTTCTGAATGAAATATCTTCAAAATACTAGAAGGGACTAAAATTTCGAGAAACTCTTCGGTTAGAAAACATTCTAATTATTCTCGTTTTCATTCTTCTAACCTATCGAAAGTGTGCTTTTCGGATTCAGCATTAAAAACTGAGTATGGGAATAATGTTTGATCAAGGTTGAATTAATTGCAGTAATTGTAGACACGATTTTCAGTAGTTGTATATCCTTGGCACTTATTTCTTCACTATTTCCTTCATTCGGTAAGCAAGGAAACTCCTAGTGTGCAGTAAAGCCAAGCACTCAGCTAGGTGTTTTCGCCAGCCCTTCAAGCAGATATAACTTGAGAGATTGCCAAGCTTATGAGCTGATTATTCCACAAATTGTTGAGCAAACTACTACATCTCAATTGGGATATGTATCGGCATGACTCTAGAGGCGCTTAGTCGACATAGGACACGTGCAAGGGCCAGTTGTCAAGAAGTAATATATCACGCAAACAGCATAAAAATACTGCATAAAGCGGAAGCGACATGTCCTACAATGTGATATCGAAATACATCTAAAATAGCACCACAATGTTCCCTGTGTCGAGATCTATCGTTCTATATCCATTCCAGAACAGTAGGTCGAAAAAAAGTGAGTGGGCCGATTCGTGGTCTTATGCGACCCGGTCCTTTCTCATTAAAATCGCAGTACGGTACGGCTAACTTTTCACCAACAAAATATCAGACGCTAAAATTTGGACCTAGAGGTTTCAGACGATGCTGATTCAGATGCGCATATCAAATTAGTGGTAGTACTACGGTATCTGGCATGATACTCGATGGTCTCATGGAAACTCTCTTAAGAACTCACGCCGGTACCCCCTTATTCGGTTATTATTATAATGTTAGGTTTGTCCTTTCATCCGATCGAGTTAAAATTTTGCCAGAGATTCTCAAGGTCACTTTGCAGAAGTAAACTGGTGGAAATTCTTTTAACACCCTTCCTGGTCCAGTTATAGGAAAAACATTGAAAAACGTCATAAAAAACAAGTTTTTCAATTTTAGAAATCTTGTAACTCGGTAAAGAAAGGTCTAAAATAAAATTCAAACAAATTACCTCTGCAAAAGTGTCTTAAGTACCTCTGGTAAAACTTTGAACATCTTGAAGGTGTTTCATATGTTCTTCAAATGAATTTGAAAATATTAAAATATCATCGAGGTATACTAAAACATAATCCTTTTTATTTGTAAATAAACGTTAGGTGAGAGATATCTTAGTTCATCCGGGAACCTAACATTGGTGCACTAGCCGGCTTACTGTCAATCCAGCATCACAGTAAGTACAAGCAATCAACATCACAGTAGGTATAATCGAACCCAACCAAATCAAAGTGAGACAACGATATTGTCAGCAAAAATTCAAACAACAGTCCAACACACAAGCACGTTATACAGATGGTGAGTGGCAGCCTCTTTGGAATCGACACAATACTAAACAGCAACACAATCTTAACTCGTTTACAGGCGTTTGGGGTGGACAATTTCACATTTATCAAATAGTGATGATTTATGATCAAAAATGTACAATCGTTCCTGGGATCGAGTTTTTACAAGCAACAATATTAGAAATACAATTTAGCCCTGAACCACAACGTTGTTTGGTGAAATTAGATTATGATCAAACTGAGTTATATGTTGAATCTAGTGCCATATTTCAAATGCTATTTCAAGGTTTAGAAGATGATGATATAGATCATGATAAACTAGCATGTTTGAAACGTATAAAGTCAATCAAAATTAATCCATCATTCATTATGAACAACAACAAATTAATAGCACTATCGGAATATTTAGATGATCAACAATCGGAAGATGGATCAGAATCGTATTGTGATACCGATTTAGATGAATTATATGTTGATCCATTTGATAGTCGATATACTTCTAGTGAAGCAGGTGAAGAAGATG